TCACAAAACTGTATCATTTGTGATGAGAACATTTGAGCTCCTCTCTTGCAGCCATGTGAAACACACAATAAATTATTGTTAATTACAGATGCCTAGCACAACTGTACAATAAGTACTATTAAACTGCCCTGAGAGAGGGGCTGTACAAACTTACATGTCCAACAAGAATGGTGAAAAATGTTTTAGATGATTTTTAAAAGATAAAAAGACTCCCATAAACAATCAGTAATTGATGTGAAAATAATAAAAGCACTTACATCACTTTTCCTAAAAGTAATTTAGTAATAGGTTTCATTTAAAAAGTTACAGATTAAATAGCATAAGATTTTAGCCTCTCAAATGCCACAAAAACACGGAGTTTTATGTCACATGAAATGGGATAAATATACGATGATCTAAAAAGCTAAGATATAATAAATATAGAACTCCTTTTCAAACTTTATTGAATTTATTACCAGTTAAAAGTAAAATACCTTAGATGGATCTTTATATGGACTCTTTTATGATAAATGAAAGCTCATTAGTATGTAACTATTTCTTAGCAAACAGTGTTAGGATTATCATAGAATCATTCTGATGTCAAGTTGGTTGTTCTTTCTAACAAAGCAGGTCACTGAAGGTCAACCATCAGCCAGTACCTAAGCCTCCTCTCAGCCTTTAAGTTGCTTAAAACACAGTCAACTCAAAATTTCTGACTGAAAGNAGCCTCCTCTCAGCCTTTAAGTTGCTTAAAACACAGTCAACTCAAAATTTCTGACTGAAAGGGGGAGAATATTTGAAGCAAAAATACTTAGCTCTATTCTTTCCCCTTATCAAATACAGTAACAATGTACAGTTTTATAGAAATAACATGAAGTTCACCATTAAAAGCATTAATGCAAACTTTTTAAGAAATTAAGACAGTCACTTCTAAGAATTTCTCTAGAAGGGGAAAGAGCTGTTTTTAGACATTTGGTAGCCACAAAATACAAAATGAGGACTGTGTTTTGTTTGTGCTTTCAGGTCTGCTGGCATAACTACTGTTCACTTTCTAATACAGAGTTAGCCTAGTGAATGACACTTAATGACTTTCAGTGGCTATTCTTAGAAGCAACATAACACTAAAACTTTTTAGGATAAGTGTCATTCAAGAGTCCTATTCTTAATCTTCTCAAATGTTGACAGATGTGCTCTGCATTCCATCAAGTTTCTATTTGTAAAGAACAGCTGCTGTCTCAAACAGCTCTTGCTTGGTAGGAATAATGTATCACCCTTTAAAAAAATGTCCCCAGGAAAATAATGATTATCATGAGATATTTCAAGAAATTTTATAGAAAGACCAGTTTTTTGACATTATTATGCTGTCCATATGACTCAGGATGTTAGAGTATTTTAGAAATTGTTATAGAGAGATCTAAATGTTCTCCACAAACACTCATCCCATGAGAAGCTCAGTTGAATATATTTCAAAAGATCTCCATCTATGAGTTACACAAAGAATATTATCAACACATCTTTTTTATGGGGTCTTCCAGTACAGAACGCTTTTTAACTTTCTTTACCTTGTTTGAAATCTGTTTTTTTAAAAACAAAACAAAACATGCTACTCAAATTGTGGTCTGTGAATGAGTACCAGTGTGCAAACTATTTATAACAGGGCAGTGAAGAGAGAAGATTAAATATACTCTCAGTTTTTGAGTTTATTGTGAAGTAGTAACCACTACTGGCACTGAATCATGGACCACATACTGAGAAGTAATGTCTCACAGCTCTATCACTATCCCCAAGAACACAGTACACACTGGCACAGATTTAGAGAACATCCAACATGTATAAATGTATGTATGTGTTTAAATAGCTTCTTAAATAAACTTAGAAATTGAAAGTTTCTATAATTCAGGACTTCTGTTTTGAGAACATGGAGCAGACATACTTTTCTTTATTCCTTCTGCTAAGTACAAATAAAAACCTTGGACATTAAATATAAACAAAACTTAAGACTCTGAATGCTACAGAGAAGAAGTCAGACGAACTAGGAAGCTTGAGATCCAAGAAAAGACATGGTAGTGAGTCCCCTGTGTTTTCTTTTTGCCTCAGGATTCTCGGACTGGGTGCTAGAGAAACAGGCAACCTAGAAACAACAACAGGAACAAAGAAATTTCCTGGCCCACATGGTTTCACTAGAGAAGTCTACCAAACATTTAAAAAGAAATTAACACCAACTAGCAAAAAACATGGTGGACACCAAAATAAAGAATCTAATGCCACTGGTAATTGCTAAAAAGTAGAAAAAGAAATATTTAAGTGTAAATCTAACAAAATCTATACCAAACTTATATGCTGAAAACTATACAATGCTGATGGAGGGAGAGTCAAAGTAGATCTAAATAAAATGAGAGACATCATATTCGTGAATTGTAAGACTTAACATAGCAAAGATGTCAATTATCTCCAAACTGATACACAGATTTAATACAATTCCTATCAAAATCTCAGCATGCTGATTTTTTGTAGATAAAGACAAGATTATTCTAAACCGTATATGGAAAGGCGTAGGAATTAGAATAAGTAAAAAAGTTTTGAAAAAGAAGAATAAAGTGAGAAAATCAGTCTACCTAATTTCAGAATTTCCTCTATAGGTATAGTAATTAACACTGTGTGTGTGGTACTGGTAGAGGGACAGACACATGGACCAACGGAACAGAATAGAGAACCCAAAAGCAGACCCATACAAATATGTCCAGATGATTTTTGACAAAGGTACAAAAACAATTCAATGGAGAAAAGATAAACCTTTTCAAAAAATGGCATTCAGGAGCATGTGGACATCCATAGGTACACACACATACACACAGAAGCCCCGACAACTTTAATTCAAAGTAGAACACAGACTTGAATATAAAACATAAAACTATAAAGCATTTAGAAATAAATATGATAAAATCTTTGTTATCCAAGTCAAGGTAAAGAATTCTTAGACCAGATACCAAAAACACAATCCATAAAGGAAATATTGATATACTGGACTTCATCAAAATTAAACACTTTTGGTCTACAAAATACCCTGTTAAGAAAAAGAATATGCAAGTTATATAGTGGGAGAAAATATTTACTAAGCACACATCTGACAATGGACTGGTACCTAGAATAACTCAATGCTCAACTATAAAAAACCAAACAATCCAATTAGAAAATAGGCAAGAGATTGTCTTAAGTCTGTTCATGCTGCTATAACAAAATACCTAAGTCTGGGTAACTTATGAAGAACAAAAATTTATTTCTGCACAGTTCTGGAAGTTGGAGAGTCTAAGATCGAGGCACCAGAATTCTATGTCTGCCGAGGGCCTTCTTGCTGCATCCTCACATGGCAGGAGGCGGAAGGGCAAAAAAAACCTAAGCTAGTTACCTCTGGCCCTTTGAAAAGGTACTAATCCGTTCACTTTCTAAAAGGCTATACCTCTTAATGCAAATTCTATGTCTGCCGAGGGCCTTCTTGCTGCATCCTCACATGGCAGGAGGCGGAAGGGCAAAAAAAACCTAAGCTAGTTCCCTCTGGCCCTTTGAAAAGGTACTAATCCGTTCACTTTCTAAAAGGCTATACCTCTTAATGCCACCACATTGGGGATTAAGTTTCAACATGGACTTTGGAGGGGATATTCATACCATAGGAGACATGAATAATAGACAACTGACCAGAGAATCTGCAGATGGCAAATAAGCAAATGAGAAGTTCAACACATGAGAAGTTGTTCAACATCTTTAGCCATTAGGGAAATGCAAATTAAAACCACAATGAAATATCCTTACACACCTATCAGAATGGATAAAATTTGTAAAAATGACACTACCAGATGCTGGCTAGAATGTGTAGAACCTTGCCCACTCATACACTGCTAGTAGCAGTGTAAAATGGTACAGCCACTCTAGAAAACATCTGGCAGTTTCTTAAACAACTAATCATAGAACTACTATATAACCCAAGAATCATCCCCCAAAATGAAGACATGAGTTCACTCCAAAACCTTGTTCACAAATGATTACAGCAGCTTTACTTGTAATAGCCAAAAACTGGAAGAACCCAGATGTCTTTTAACAGGTGATAGTTAAACTATGATACATTCTTATCACAAAAAGCTACACAGCAAGAAAAAGGGACAAACTACTGATATACATAACAACCTCGATCAACCAGAAAATCATAACAACCAGAAAACCATGCTGAGTGAAAAGAAAAGCCAATTCCCAAAAGTTAAATACTATATGATTTCATTTATATAATAATCTAGAAATGTTTAGGTCCCCTCCAAAACTCATATGTTGAAACCTAATCTTCAACATGATGGTATTTGTTGGTGGGGCCTATGGGAGGTGTTTAGATCACAAGACAAGACCTCCCATGAATGGAATTGATGCCCTTATAAAAAGGACTCCAGAGAGTCCCTTCATCCCTTCCACCATGTGAGGATACATCAAAAAGTCAGCCCTCTGTGAATCAGGAAGTAGGTCCTCACCAGACACCAAATCTGCCAGCACCTTGATCCTGGACTTCCCAGGCTCCAGAACTGTGAGAAATAAATTTCTGTTGTTTATAAACTACCCAGACTATGGTACTCTGTTATAGCAGCTTGAACAGACTAAGACAAAGTATCAAATGTTTTCCATGTTAAGAACTTAGGAATGTATTAATTAATCTAATCTCTAACACTGTATCCATCAGGATATTATTATTACATCCATTTGAAAGTGAGGCATGTGCTATTAAATGCTGGAATGCTATTAAATATAACATTAAAAGGAAAAAGAATTATTTCCACCTGAAAATTTCATTGCTATATCCCAGAACTCAGCATCATGCTTGGCACATAAAAGAAGCCCACTATATACTTCCTAAATACATAATCAAATCCATGCAGGTTTTCATGCTTAAGAGGCTCATGTAATCATTAAAAGTTTATCCTCGCTCTACCCAGCTGCATGGTAAATACTACATGATAACTTTAATCCCCAACTTAAACTCGGTTCCTGATCTTCTGCAACCCTAACAGATCAAAGAAGATGCAATGGACATGGAATATCCTGAGAAATAGAAAACCTGGATCAAGCTGTTACTTTCGCTGAGACCTCCTATGGTCTGTTTGTCCATCCTGAAAATCAAAGATATGGTCATGATGCCTAAGGCCTTTCCCACATGTCACAGTATTCAGAATACTCACTGTCGCACTGTCACTCAAGACAAATGTCCACCAATGAGGGATTGGTTAAATACTAATCATAGTGTCCTCATTCACCAGAAACTATGCCACCATCAAAAAAGAAGAGATGAAACCATATATACTGACATGGAAAGATTCAGAAGTAAAAAATGCACAGTCCTTAAAATTGCATACAGTATGTCCACATAAAACAACGAATTCCTATAAATAAAAATACTGATCATGCCCTCTGTGAACAAATGTTGAATAAGGTACACAGATAAAGGTTCACAACCAAATTTAAAAAGAAGATAAAAGTAGTGTTCTAGGATGAACGTGAACAAATCAACAAAATGAAACACTTTGAGCTTTAAACAGTTCTTGCACCTACCTGAGAGGCAGCAGAAAAGGGAAATAACCACAACCAGCTCTGTATGTTTGTTCTCTTAACATTTAGAATGGCTTTGTGCTCTTGACACGATGGAGCTAATGACCCATTGGTATTCCAATCTCCCTCCAGGTCAGTGTCCTTTTCTGGGCTAGGAGAGACCCTCTCATGATACACTAAGAAGTAGCTGGTGATTTTTTAGGTCATGGGAAGAATTTCCCACCAAATACTCTCTGAAAAGTAAAAACTGAACGTACCAGTTCAGTGTCCCCAAGCACGGCACACTGATAGAGATAATCAATCTGTGATGCTATGTCAATGGAACAGAGAGTTGACTCCCTACAGTGCAGAGCCTTAATTCAATGTTCAGACAGGGCCTTCTATCCAAGGGTGCTCCCCAGGGCTGGTGTGTGTGATTTGTGCAGCTACACAGGGCCCCATGCCCAGACAAGTGCCATTCTTAATTTAACGTTCTGCATAGCTGTCTTGACACCTGAACAAGGGTCCCTGCCTTTTTGTTTTATACTGGGTCCTATGAGTCAGGTAGCTGGTTCTGGTACCTAATACACACAGTTTTTTCTTTTCTTTTTTTAACAAATTCATAGAAAATGACCAAAAGCATCCATAGTACCTTCTTAACTTTCACACCTTCTTTTGGAGTTTGTTTTGTTGCTAGATTATATCCAATCATCTGTTTAGCCAGCTGTCCCACAATTTTAGGGCTAAGAGGGAGAGAAAAAAAAAAAATAAAAGAGAGAGAGAGAGAGGGAGATAGGAAACGGAAAAAAAAAATCAATGTCTGTTGAAAATCATTTTAAAGCAGAGTCCATGTATCCTCATGTCCACACTGCCCAGGGCCCACCTCCACCCTCACAGAATCCACAGGTCTTTCCACCCATATACTATGTGCCTAGCACTGCATTAGAGGCTCACGGAGAGCAAAATATAATTGAGAGAGAGTGAGTGAGTGAATGAGTGAGTGAGTGAGTGAGTAAATTAAATATAAGATGCTTGCTGACCTCTGATACCATCTCTCCCCAAATACATTACAGTCACAGTAAAGAGATACTGCTGAAATGCATAACGGACTTAGTTCTAAGAGTTGAATAAAGAGTTGATAGTGGACAATTTGGGAAGCATTGGGCAATGAGAGGGATGAGGATGAAGGTAAGGATCAAAGCAAATAATGAAAAGGTATGTGACAGGGACTGGGAGGAGAGGAAAGTATTCAGTGCTGGGAGACATGGGAGATGAAGTTAAAAAGACAGGCTCAGACAAAGGCAGGTTAGGACTATCAGATAGGAGGCACAACTGATGTCACTGACAATGGGGAGATACTGCAGGTTCTTGAGTAGGGGAGTGACATTACGGAATGACATTTCACTTGCAAATGGTATCATTTCCAACATTTATGATGAATCACTAATTGTCTAGGAGAAAAGGACCATCAAGTTTTCACCAATGAGAAAAAAGGCCTTTTATGGAAGCAGGGGAAAAAAAAAAAAACTGGGGCAATTGCCAGAGCCCTCTACCTACCAGTTTGGTTTTCTCTACTTGCTACAGCCTGCTCCTATCCCCTCCCCAACTCTCTTTCTCAGTGTCCTGTTCAATCATGAGCAAGAGCTTCCATCACTGCTCGGCCCGAAGACAAGGAATTAAAATGTTCAGACTTACTCTTTCGTTAAATGAACACCTCCTTTCAAGCCACTATTGAAGACACCTTTTCCTCTTCCTCCAGCTAAGATCTGGGCTTTTAGAACAATTTCTTTTGCATCTGAAAAAGAAAAATCCAGAGTTGGTAGTTGGTTTTAAATTCTTTTCTTTCTTTCCTGTTTTTCCTCTTTACCAATAAGGAAAGCAAAAATGACATAAAATTGCCAAGTGACTGGTAAAAGCTCTCTCAGAGCAACTTTAAAAATAAAGGGAATAAAGAACTTCAAAAAACATCAATGTGCCTAAATGCAAAGTCTGTTTACCAAGGACATTCAAATGCTTTCTACCAGTTGAATAAGCTAATACTCAACCGTTCCAAGGAAAAGCAAGGCATGTGTTTCCTTGCTCTTTTTAGTATGTCAGAAGATGCTAAATAAATCCTGGATGGAGGTATTAATTTTACTGTGTAATGACACTCCCACATGGCAGAGGCACCAATCTGCCAGTCAGAGGAGCTAACTACCTGTCAGCCATCAGAGACGGCAAAGGGAAAACTGGATTATGTAGGGAAAAGGTTTAAAGACAAGATAGAAAGGCCGTATTTTATAACTGTATTCTTGGAAACTAACAGTTTTCTGAGCAGTTCTATATATTGATAGGGTTGGGCAAGGCAGGAGGAAGTAGATTAAAACTAAACACAAGCAACATTTTAAAAATATTGGCGAGGGCCGGCCCGGTGGCGCACTGGATAAGTGCGCCGCTTGGGAAGCGCGGTGGCGCTCCCGCCCAAGGGTTCGGATCCCACATACAGACCGGTTCCCGCTCACTGGCTGAGCGAGGCGCGGGAGCAACACCGAGGGTTGCAATCCCGTTGCCGGTCCCCGGTCCGGTACGGGGGCAACACTGAGGGTTGCGATCCATTGCCGGACACGGAAAAAGACAAAAAGACAAAAAAAAAAATAAAATAAAAAATAAATAAATAAATAAAAATATTGGCGAGATTACAAAACATCCTGGGGATAAGTAGTTAACAAATTTGTGTTTCTCAGCACGCTCAAGGAAAAGAGTGAACTGTCTATTCTTGACCTTTTAAAAATAAATAAATAAAAATATTGGCGAGATTACAAAACATCCTGGGGATAAGTAGTCAACAAATTTGTGTTTCTCAGCACGCTCAAGGAAAAGAGTGAACTGTCTATTCTTGACCTTTTAGACCAGAGTAATAAACTCAAATATCTTTATGGGCCTGACAGGAAAGCTGGGTGTGTCTGTGAAGCTGCCCAGTGATAAATGAGGTCTTTAGCCAACAGGAGAGATCCCCTCCCCAAATGCCAAAGCGGAAAAATAAAGCAGCCTCCAAATAAAATATGTTTAATAAACCAAGCAGCACATATCTTCAGGCCACAGCTGGCATCCTGTTGGTAAATCATCTTTGTTTAACATCAGAGAACCAAACCAGACAATCTTCTATGAGGTTGTGATGGTTTTCTTGTTCAGCACACCAGGTTTAGAATCTGTAGACCGAGGTGTTGATCTGGCCTTCATCCCTCACCCAGCTGTGTGGCAACAGGCATGTTACTTAAAGTCTATGAGACTCAGTTTACTCAACTGTCAAACGAAAGTGTGGGTTGTTTTAATAATTAAACGAGATAATACATGCAAATACTTTATCACAGAGCCTGAAAACTCAAATGATTAATTAAAGACCACTGCCTCGATCAATTAGTTAATTACCTTTATATATTGTAAAGAATCAAAAGAATCATTTCAGAGATGGTAAAAAAGAAAAACTAACATTTGTTGGTATCTGCCACCATTCATGTAAGGCGAGAGCTTCACAAGTGTTGGCTATTTCAGCTAAGACTCTCCTCTTTGTCATTACTCATAAGCAAGCACGCAAAGGTTCAAATAGAAAGAGCCACAGAGGGTTTTACCATGAAGGCAATGGGGAGCTACAGAGGATTTTACACTATGCAGGCGTTGGGTCAGGTGGTCACCCCAGCTGATGCTGTTGCAGCATCATGGCTCATTCGCTGTCTTCACTGCTTGGTCTCCTTTCTCTCATACTTGTATCTGCTTCCACTCAGAGAGGACTCATCCTCCTCTCAGAAGCAAACACAGTTCCTTCCTGGGATGCTGCCTTCTACACCCAACTGCATAGGAACCATCATATCCATCAATCGCTGTCTTATAATAAACAGGTTCCCATTAGGCTGAGTAGAAGACACTGTTCATTATCAGAAACTCACCAGGAAAGAAACCAAGTAAGATGAACTTACTGCATATTAGCTTACTGCTGTAAAAACAGCAGTTAGAGAAAGGATACTGTAGTTAAACAGACCTGTGTTTAAACTCCATCTATCACTTTCTTTGTAGAGAACAGGAGATTGCGATTCAGAAAGGTAGCCGTAGCACGCCCATCTATAAGGTGGTCATATTAAAGAAATCTACAGTGTTATGATGATGTGAAGAATAAATGAAATACAATGGGTAAAGTGCTATCTCAATGCCTGGCACATTAAAAAAACAGTCAAAATATGACAGCATCATTATAATTGTTTTCAGTGACTCCCCCAAAAACTGGTATAAAGAAAAACCTTCTCTATTTGTCTTTTGAGGACATCAAGTGGAAAAAATACTTTTTGCCATTTACTCAAATTTTTAATTGTAATCACTTCAAATTCTTTAAAAAGAATAACAGCATTCCATTGCCATTACCATTTTTCATATCCTTGTCATCCAAAAGAAAGAGATGCTTTCCTCTCCAAGCTTTCCAGCAGCAAAACTTGAAAGTCAGACGAACACCTAATTGGGTGCTGTTAATTGGCGCTAGGTAGGCTTGATTAGGTCAGCTTTACTCACTAACCATCGAGACACAGAAACAGTTGTATCCTCGATGAAGTGCTGTCAATTACACATGTCACCATTTGACCTCGTGTCAAAAGGGCTCCTATGCCACCCAGGTGGTAGACCAAGGAACCATCTCAAAGAGTGTGAAGCCGTATATCAGGGCAATCAGAAAAAGAGAAAGAAAAAGAATATTCAATCTATGCACATCTTCTGCAACTTATACCCCATGCAAAAATGAGTTCACTAAAATCTCTTCTGGTTAGATCTCAAGTGCTCCATCAATATAGCAGGTTGGCAGCCCAAAGTAAAGCAAGATTTCTCATCTTAAGGGAAACTCTCATGAAGTAATTTATGGTTATTTACTCAAGGCACTGAAAATTAAATAAAGTGGTCAAATTCTACTCAATAGTAACTAGTCTCTTCATTCAGTATTTACCAAGTTGATTCACACTTATTTTGAAATGCCACTGTTCCTGTTTTATTTAAAGATCTGATTTCTCCAAAAACCCACATTAATTTGTTTGTTTTTGTATATGTTATCTCCAGCCTCTAATCCCAAATGCAATTACAAAAGACTATGCTATACCTGAAATTCAATTTTTGTCTAAATAAATGAGATGATTTAACCATAACTTTAGAATATCAAGCTAAAAGGAAGGAGGGGGAAAAACCCTACTCTAATAGATTTTGTATAGAAATAGATTGCACCTATACATTGATTATATTATTGGTCTCTGAGCTGGTATAATTGAGGTCTGTATAACTAGAAAGTCCTTGCTCTTAACTGTTTCCCTTATATGCCTGAACATGCAATACGTTCACTGTATGTTGTTCTTTTCCTGGTGAGCTTCTGGTAAGGAACAGTAGTCACAACTAGGTTTCCACTCAGTTTGATGGGAACCATTTATTATAATTTATATATTTTAGGAGAAAAAGCACTATGAGACATATTTGACAAACTTATAAATATGTAAGATTCTCAAACACCATATCACTTAGAACAGTATTTAGAGCCATTTAGAAACCCTAAACAAAATCCCACTCCATGGTCTTGTTTTAATATAGCTAATAGCTACATTAAAATAATGTCTTCACAAATGTTTTCCTCTCATTCTTTACCACACAAGTGTTATCCTAATTATAATACAGTTTTATATCAAGTTTTATAGTCTCCCAATAGTCCCATGCTAGATAATAATGTTCTTGGAAGCATTGTAACATCTAAAGAAGAAGAAGAAAAAAAAAAACAAAACGATTCATTAAGGAAAGTACAACCTAAATAGAATAAATAAGAAACGTGTTTAATTAAGCAAGCTTTGCAAAAGTGGTTCACTTCATTTTTTAGAGATGGCATTCTGAAAACATATTTACACAAAATAATGTTCACGAAACACAGTTCAGAACCATAATGAGGACCATAGTAAATGTCTGAAAATGTTAATCATGAATATCGAGAAAAATAAGTTATTTCCAACTACCTTTTTTTAAAACAGTGATGAATCAAATATTTGTATTACCGAGCTGGTTTTTATTCAGCATTGCTCTTTTCTGAAATATAACACTCATACTTTCCTAAATGCAAAATGTAGCGGGCACTAGGTACACTGATACTGCAGTGAGATGACTACTACAATGATCATCTATTTAAAGTCAATAACATTGGACTTGTGGAGGAAATATGATTTCTATGGTTCACTGACTGGAGCAAAATTGGAATATCCAGTTTTCAGCACAATTGCATTCTATAATTTCTAGCATGGTGATCACCTTTCATGAGGTTTGATAGAATTCCTAATTGAGAAAGTTAAAATGCATTTCAGTATTTCAGATTTACCTATTACTGGAAGGCAGGGAGAAAGGAGGAGGGAAAGCAAGAGAAAAGTCAGAAGATATTACGGAAAGATGAGCCTTTATAAGGAATATTACAATTATAGGGACATAATTTAGAGACCTAACTGCCAATTTCCTGAAGGAAATGAACTAATGCCTATGTTTTCATTATGACTCCAGGACCCAAACTTAAAAATGGAGAGTTACCAGTTTTCAATCATTACTGTAATGACTCCTAAAGACTAACATATATTTCCTCAAGTTGTAACTAGGTCGCTGGGAATAAGATGATACTGTGATGACTCTTTCCGTATGCCTAGTGGCATCTTTGAGAATGAAATGATTATTCAAACTTTCAACATGTCTGACATGGGCCCAACAACTTTGGGATAGAGAATTTCAAACATACAAGACATTAGAACACAGCATTTCATCACTGGTCACAGCACTTGACTGAATTAGATTGGAGATACTTGGGCCCACCAGACTGCTACCAATCAGAGATTTAAACTGCACATGTCTAAAACAGCAATTTTCAAACATAAGTAAAAGACAGAAATAGGACCATCTCTGGGACAGGAATTTTGTGATACAAACAGGAAGTTGTTCAGAGAGACATTGTCTCACATTAAGAAATCTTTTACTGATAAGGCTTTTATGTAAGTTTTAAATTTAAAATTTCCTATCAAATATGTTATCCAATTAATTCCATATTATTAAAAATAATTCCTTCATTCAGATACTGCAGAGGCATGATAATGCCACTTTGAACAGTTTATTGATTATAAAGAAGCTAATATTATCTTAAAGCATGCTTATGTTTTCAAGGGGAATAATTTTAATGTTAATCTCTATAAAAATTCCTAATTTAAATCATTGTTTTTTCATATTGCTATACTCTTAAAAATATTATATATTTAATATTACATTATAGGCTTCATTAAAATCTACAATGAAAAATTAGCCTACTCTTCTAATCTTGTCACTATGTTATTTATTGCTTTCATAATCATTAATACACATTTCATTGGTAATAAAATTTTTTAAGCTACAGGGGCTGACTGGTTAGTTCAGTTGGTAAGAGTCTGGTGTTATAACACCGAAGTCAAGGTTCAGGTCCTGTACCAGCAAGCCCCCCCCTCCCCAAAAGAAATTTTAAAGTTACATAAAAATTACCTCTAGCAAGACTCAATTCAGTTGTAATATCTTACTCTGACTTCTTAGTAAAAGATACAATCTTGCTCTTTCCGTGTAGTTTAATACTAGTGAATCAATCTTACATTGTGCCAACTAGATTAAAAGATACATTTTTCTTCAAGAAATCTTAAGGAAGAACCTCCTAACACTGATCGTGAAAATACCCACATGACCTTATTCAAGCACCTGTGGCTAATCAATGAACTTCTAACACTGTAAGACTACAATCATAGAACATTAAACAAATCTTTTGCAAAAAGCCACCTGAAGAAATTACTTTTCAGCAGAAAACCAGTTTCTTAAGAAGAAATTTCCAGAAGAAATCTTATACAGATTACAGGACGGATTAATCCTATAATGACATACATTGATAATAAAAACACCTTGTGTGACACGTGTTACTTTGACAGATCCTGGAAACAGTCAAGGAAGATGAAAAGCAATTACGAACACCAAAAGCATTTCTACTTTACTTTGCAGTACACTTGAAGAGAAGGAAGGATAAAGGAAAACTAGCTTTAAAAAATAATTCTCCCCCTGATTTTCAAGTCAAAGATGGGAGTCAGTTCAATTAGGAAAGCAGAATTACTATGGGTTTCAGATAAGGGGTTTATTATAGGAATTAAGTATACATGATTGTGGGAAGAGTTTAGAAAGGGAAGATCTGAAAATGGAGATTGGATGATCACAGGAGTCC